CTGAGCCGAAGGCAGCTGCTTAACCGACTGAGCCACCCAGGTGCCCCATCACTGTGTAATTTTAAGGCGTACAGCATGATGGTTTGATTTACATATATTGTGAAACGATGACCACGATAGGTTCAGCTAACACCCATCTTCTCCTGAAGATACAATAAAAAAGAGAAAAGGAAACACAATTTTCTCCTTGCGACAAGGACTCTTAGGACTATTCTCTGAACGACTTTCCTATATGTCATATGGCGATGTCAGCTGTGGTCAGTCAGCTTGTGGCGTGTCCCATCCCCGGGACTTACTTGTCTTGTAACTGGAAGTTTGTCCCTCTTGACTCCCTTCTCTACTTCCCCTCTGCTGGCGGCTTCCCTTGAGCTGAGCTCAGGGAGCCCCGAACCTTAGAAACCATGGAGTAACAGTTCCCCGCGTGTCGACGTCGTGTTATCTATCGTCTGCTGTCTGGAAGTGAGTACAGAGTATACACACACATAAATTTTATCTGTGTAATTGTTTTCATTCGTAGACTATAAAGCAATTGTCAAAATAGGAGAGGGAACGTTTTCTGAAGTTATGAAGATGCAGAGCCTGAGGGACGGAAGCTACTACGCGTGCAAGCAGATGAAGCAGCACTTTGAAAGGTAGGCGGGCAGAGACGGGCTTCGCCACTAAACCAGCTGCAGGTTTAGAGCGAGGAGGGCCACTTAGCATAGTGGGAAAAGTGTATTCATGTGATAACAGGCGAGATGCAGTCCGCTTTCTCTGGGCAGGGGCTTGGGGCTAACTTTATGTTATGATAGTATTTGTGTTTATGATTTTATATGTGTGTGAAAACTATTATGTTTATGATTTTATTCAGGTCCAGGCTTACTGTGATATCAGTGATTAATGGTCACAAAACATTTAAATTGTAAAAGTATGCCTCACTTTAAACAGCCTGTATGTTCCTGAAAGTTGTATGTTGGACTTTTATAACTGAAACCTTAGTCTCAATATATTAGAGGTGCTTATGATTTAATTAATTGTGAATCAGTTAGTATATTGAAAACAACTTCCAGTTAGGGTTGGAAAAATTTATTCCCTGAAAGGGATCAGTTGCTGCTTGTGGAGAGGGGAGCACTCTTGTTCTAGGTTCTTGGAGGACTGCTGTGGCTTTGGCCCTCCGAGCAGTCTCTTAATCCCTCAACTTTGCAGCTTCTTAACATAGGGCACTAAGGAGTCAGACACCAGACGTGACTCGGAAGCTCTGTCAGAATAACGAAGCAGATGCTGGCCTCACGGCACCTGGGAATCTTTCAGAAGAGAGGCGTGAAGCTCAGCCTTTGTTTAACAGCAAAGGAATTGAAGTCTCTAAATAGTAAAAGCTAGTTGTAAAAAAAACACAGTCATTCCCCCACATCGACACAGCCTTCTGAAGTGTTTTGGGGTATAAACCTTGATTTCAGACTCTTAGTACAAAGAAGTTTCTCAGATCAGAAAGGAGTGCAGGGCCGTTAGTCATGTCAGAATATGGAGAACAGTAATGTCATCTTCGTGACCTCCCCACGGGGTGTCTGTAACCATCCCTGGTTTGCACACGAGGAGAGGTGCTTAGAGATCTGAAGTAGCCTGACAGTCGTCGCTATAGGTCACTAGGTGGGCAGAGCTGTATTTGAATCATCCAGATTTCCCTAGGCCAGAATCCTCCTCCTTCGCTGCGCAACACATACAGTTGTTTACCTGCCACTGCCAAGTCACTGGGTCTGCGGCTTTTCCTCTGTTGCTCACTTCTTCCTCTGTGTATTCTGCATTCTCTGGGTTCCTCTAGCTTTGTACCTTGAGATGGAGAATTTGATGCGCGGTGTACCAATTACCCCATACCTAAAGAGCAGACTTCCTGAAACAGCCACCTCTGAGAGATGCCCCACAAACCCAGAGTAGCAGAGAAAGGACTTCAGGCAGCGGGGTGCGACGCATTTGCACCCTAGGAGAGGACTGGAGTCCCCGTCAGGTTCCACTGTCAGGGTCAGGCGTGGATGTACTTATAGACAACAGGGCTCGCTAGCTGCTGTTTTTGTGAAGAGGGAGATAAAAACAGTGGACAGGACAGATAGCCTGCAGACTTAAGGCATTTCTGGGCTTGTTTGGATGTCAGAGGAACGTGCAGTCACGCTCACTCGGTGGAGCCGGCCGTCAGGAGAAATCACACTTGGGCGTGAGTGTGCCTTCAGGAAGGTAGAGGTATCTGTAATACATTATAGAAAGGTTTCCATCAAAGAACCCATCCTTTGAGGGGCAGGAACGCTCAGTTTTATCTGGAGAAGTACCTTCTTGTGACCTCAGCCCGTCGGGAGAATGTGGTCACCTAAGGGACGTGGTTTCCTAGTGGTGAAGCGCATTCCGGATTCACCATCTCCCGGGTTCCAGACATGCCAACAGTGCCTTGTCCGCTGAGCCTTGGTCTCCTTGTGGTGAGGTGCCTGAGGACTAAGTGAGGGAATGAACAGAAAGTTGGGAGGGAGGTGCGGCACATGGCCACCGTTCAGTGGATGGTAGCCTTCGTTCCTGTGGGTGTGGTGGCCGTTTGTGGTGTTTCAGAAACAGTGCTCTGTCCTCACTTGAAAAGTGATTGATTAGAACACATATTTTTCTTTTAAAAACCCGTAATAAGTAAAGGTTTTTAATAAAATACGACTGAATCAGAGTTACTTTTTATTTTTGTTTTGTTTTGTTTGCTTGTTTATTTAGTAATCTGTACACCCAGCGTGGGGCTTGAATTTGTGACCCCAAGGTCAAGAGTCCCATGCTCCATGGACAGAGCAGCCAGGCTTCCCAGTGTTACTTTTCTATAAAGTTTGTGTATGTTTAGGAGATTATGAACAGGCTTTAGTTTCTGTTGTATAAATCACAATTTCATGTATTGGCTTTACTTAAAAGGAAGTACACTTACTCTGGGCTAGTGGAATTTTGTTGCTGTTTGATGTATGGAATCAGTGATAGAGTCTCAAGCTGGTTTTGACAGGTATCTGCCAGCCGTGTAATCCAAACCTCAGAGGAATTGGGTTTTGGGTCTGTTCACGTGAGTTCTAATTTGCTCTTGATACATATGTTCAAAACTATAGGAGATTATAACCCAATACTACCATTGTTTATTTCATAATTGTTCCAGCTTAGATTATTCCAGCTGTGGCTTTGGGAGCTCTCTCGGGTTGGCTCCTGTGTTCTTTTGATAAGCTCCATGCTTTTTCTTTTCCTTTCCTTTCCTTTTTTAACACTTTAATTTTTGGCACTACAGGGGCGCCTGGGTGGCTCAGTTGGTTAAGCGACTGCCTTCGG